GCGCGCGCGTGTGTGTGTGTGTGTGGTGCAGCTGTAGTTGTTCGAGCTCAATAATGAGATCTAAGGTTTCAGTCCCGGCCGGAAGCCCATTAAGCAAAGTATTAGGCCATTGGCAAAACTATGGCTACGAGCCATTGACCAAAATGAAATTAGTGTTCTATTACAGCATTCCTTGGTCAATGTATATATTATTATAGATTTTGGAGAGTGCTGACCGCTTCACAGCTCATTGAATTATTATACTATTTTGCAACTGGAATTGTTCTGTCAGAGGCCTGGGAAATGAGATGAAATACTTTATGTACAGATGTTTATGAGTTTGCATAATTTAGAAACTAGCAAAGAGGGAAACAAGCTGGTGGTTCAGAAGTAGACTGCCTCAGTGCCGGAACCAGCAGCTGTCCCAATACCTGATTCTAGGCCAGGGGAACTAAAGGATAAGGAGGAACGCAATGTCCTGGTAATTGGAAATCAATACTCAGGGCATCCAGCCGGCCGCCGATCGCCAGGGGTGTCTGAAATTGACAGGGTTGATGGAATGGTCTTCCCCCTCCCCCTCTCATACCAGACAAGGTACTGAATTCAGAGTAGGGCTAGGGAGCCAAGGCGCTGCGGCAGGGCACTACCCTTTGAGGTAGCTGGCTATCAATGTTGACCCTGGGGGGGAGCCCAGCAGATATTAGGGCACATATTCATTTTGCCACCTTGGATTTAATGAATTGGAAGAATCTCACCCCTTCCTATAGAGATAACCCCCTAAAGATGACTGATCTGATCTCCCCCAGCAGTGTTTGCTGCCCACTGGCCCACCTGGGCAGATGTACAAGCCCCGCTCCACATGCTGCTGACCGCAGATGAGTGAAGGCTGGTGATAGGCGAGGCCACAGAAGAAGCTGAGAGGCTTCACCAGGAGGACCGAAGTGGGACCCCGGCACCAGACAGGGCAACCCTTATAGCTGAACCAGATTGGGACCCTAATGATAAGAATGATCAGTCTAGATTAGAACATTACCGGCAATGTCTTATAGAGGGGCTACGTAAAGGGGTACCAAAACCAAAGCTTAAATATAGTACAGTCGGTCCAACAGAAACCAAATGAGGATCTCTCAGAGTTTTTGGAAAGAATTTACGAAGCCTATAGACAATAAACTGATATTGATCCTGAAGCAGCTGGAAATTCTTGCATGATCAGTATGAGTTTTCTCTCCCAGGGTACCCTGGATGCAGAATAAATTCCAGAAGTTAGATGGAGTCATGAGCATGTCACACGCCCAGCTTGTAGATATTGCCTACAAGGTGTAAAATAGCCATGAGTACCAAAAGGCTAAGGCCACCACCTTTTTTCTAAATCAGGTGAAGAGGTATGAGCCACAAAATATGAATAGGCAGTGCCTCGGTTCCCCACTAGAGAGACACCAGTGTGCCTATTGCAAAGAGAAAGGACATTGGAAGAAGGAATGCCCTAACAGAGGCAAACCCAA